TTTAGGGTTTAGGGTTTTCTTATGTGGCTTTCGCAGCAGAGGTTTCAGGATAAACAATGATTTAGAGCGGTTTATACGTGTGTCTTCATGGGGGTTTCGGATTCGGTCGGGTGAAGCGGGTTCAGCAGGGCTCCCTTCAAACGGTTTAGTATACGGCCTCAACAATCAGAAGGAAATCTTTGCGAGCACTATAGTGTAGCAATGTTAGAAGGTTCAGGGGATGCTTCTAATTACTGATTATTAAGACATCTATATCAGAGGTTCAGGGTTGCAGAGCTTTTTTTTTTTGGAGGGGGGGCTGGCCGCAACCACAGCGGAAAAACCCTGAGGATTGCCGCTGAATGCCTCGTCTCTCCGCGACGCTTTTAATCCTCGAGGGTACCAGGTCAGCAAGCTGCGGTTGGTGAGATAAATCCTGCATTCCCGGGACTTTCCATAGTCTAGTTTAGGGTCCTTAAGGAATCAGATTTGTTTTAGCATCTCAGCCTCTTCGCGGGAATTCGAGGAAGGTGCGTCGCCCGAAAAACGTCGAGCTTGGCGTGCACTTCACTCCTGCGGTTCGTTCGGACACGGTCTTGAGACGAATGTAGGTGCCTTAATAACTACAACAGGGCTTCGGGGCCCGATATACTATAGCTCTATCAGGGTTACGACAAGGTTTCTATCAAGGCCCCCTAAACCCAAAACCTTATCTTAAACCCTATAAGCCCTAAACCCTGGAAGCGCCCGGTTGCCCACACACATTGGCTGACCCACTGCGTTCAGGTTCCGCTTCTTGGGGCGCTTGATGGGCGGCGGTCTCAGTTCGTGGCACAGCGTTGCCAGTAATGTAGCCTGAACCCCGAACCCTCAAACCCTAAACGCTGAATCCCAAATCCTAAACCCTATTTAAACCTAAACCTTCATAAACATAGCTCCTTTCTCCAACGGCCGGGACTGATTGGAACCAGAAAGCTGGAACAATCTGGAACATCTTCACCTCCATGCTCTTAATGAAGGAGATTGGCTTTGAGGGCCTACCGGTAGAAAGCGGGGGGGGGGGGTCTGGTCCAGCGCGGCTAGGGTCAGGAGGGGCTTGCATCTGCGCATCGTGGCAGGCTATCCAGGGTTTAGGGTTTAGGGGCAGTCGGCAGGGGTTGAATCACCCGTCGCCGGTGGATTTTCAAATCAAACTGCAGAGCATAATCATCTCTGGGCAGCTGCTATGTGGCTTCCGAGTGCAGCGAGCGACTCCGCTCGTGCTAGATACTGGTGCTGGCGCCGGACCACCTTCAACCGAAACCCAACAGCCCAAAGAATCCCAAACAGCCTCAAATGAGGTTTAGGGTTTAGGGTTCAGAATTTACGGGTTCGGGGTTTAGGGTTTAGGGTTTAGGCCTCAACCTGTTTTAACTATGCTTCCAAGCCCTGCGGCCCTACAGACCCCGAGCTGTTGGTGTCTTCGGATTCTGCTTTATTTCAACCCCAAACCTTACGCCCTAAATCCTAAACCTTGGAAAACCCTCCCACAGCACCCCATTCAGAACCATTTACAGAACTCTTTACCCTTGTCGTATCCCTTAACCCTAGACCCTAATCCCTTAAACTCAAAGGAACCCTAAACTTTTAGCCCCCAAGAGGTAACCCTAAACCCTAAACCCTAAACCCTAAACCCTAAACCCTAAACCGTAACTTTTAGGGCTTTGACACCCTGCAGTCCTTTCGTCGAAAGTGACGTCTCTCAATCTCCGAAAGCCGCAAGGCTCCCTGCATGGGTTGCTTGAAGGGTTTTAGGGGTAGGGTTTAGGGTTTAGGGTTTAGGGTTTAGGGCTTAGGGTTTTGGGAATCAGGTTCCTGTAACGGTTCTGTAAGGGTTCCATTCAGTGATCTATCAGGGTTTCATTAAGGGTGCCATGAGGGCTCCTTTAAGGGGTCTATAGACCCCTTAAAGGAGCGAGCCCTCATGGTTCCTTGAAGGTTTTCAAGGGTTTTATCAGGGATTCAAGAACTAGAGCCTTAATCCTAAACCCTAATCCCTAAACCTTAAGAGCTTTAAAGTTTAGGATTCAGAGATTGGAGGTCGTTGTAATTCGGGATTTTGGTGAGCAGGTGAGTGTTTCTTGGGGCTCCCTTACTAAACACACACTTACTTTAGCCATCCCTTGAATTGAAAACTCTTTCGAGCCCCATGTATATAAAGAGTTTCTCGGAACCCAACCATAAAGAGTTGTCAACACCTTTGATTCCATTTACATCAGCACATTGCAGCCGCCCCCATAAAGACCCTACAAAACCCAAGATTCTTGAACCCTAAACCCTTAACCTTGACCATAACCCTAAACCCTAAACCCTAAACCCTGAACCCTGAACCCTAAACCCTAAACCCTAAACCCTAAAACCTTGACCTGAACTCTAAACCCTTGACCCTGACCCCTGCAAAGGCCACGCCCTTCGGGATGGCTTCATTGCGCCGTTGCCTTTGACAGAGGAGTCCGGACGCAGGGCGTACAGCACTTAGAGGATAAGGAGACTTACAAAATAGGGTAATTTCGGGGCCTTCATAGTTAGAATGGGGGTTAGGGTTTAGTAAACCCTAAACCCTATTCTAATTTCTTTAGGGTTTAGGTTATAGATATGGGGGCCTTAATAGTCAGAAAAGGGTTCGGGGGTATAATATACCATGATCATAGTAAGGAGCCCCCAAAATAGCATTGGCACTTATTAAGGCCTCTACAGAAGGTTTAGGGCCCTAAACCCTAAACCCTAAACCCTACGTTACCCTGAACCCTCGGGTTCCTTGTAGCAGGGGGTTTAGGGTTTAGGGTTTGGTACTTTGGGGTTTTGAATACAGTACTTCTTTGATGAGAAAGGGATCTCTCAAACAACTTCGCGATACTGCTGTCTTGGAGTATGCAAGTGCCCTTATAGGGGTCCGAATAACCAGTAGTAGTAGTAGTAGTAGTAGTAGTAGTAGTAGTAGTAGTAGTATCGCCTGGTAGTCCGATATCCCCTTCCCCCATCCGAATTAACAAGAAAGCAAATCCTCAAACCCCGAACCTTAAAACCCTAAAC